CTAATGCCCATGTTACTTTTGTGACACAGATTCAGTTGTATTACCTGGCTGTTTATGCTGAGCTTTCCCTGTGAGACTTGCTCCACGTTTATTTACTGAGCTTCTTTTTTACATTTGTGAATTTAAGAGCATGAAACTCTGACTGGATAAATTACTCTCTTTTTCCTGCTGGGCATACTGAGCCAAAGCCTTTCTGAGCTTATCTTACACACTTCTAAAATACAGACTTCTTATGTTGTTCAGTATTTGGAGTGTTTCATATGTAGTGAGCTACACATCCAAAAGGTCAACATAATCATAATTGTTGCCTATTCACCTGTGAATTGAACAGCTTTTCATCAGGCTTGTTCTCAGTCATCTCGATAGTGCAGTTCAGTGTGCGCAGGACGCACAGAGGATGCATCACTGCTTGGCAGAGCAACCCTGTCCTGTGTTATACTCATGTTGAGATCTGCATCTGCCTCGTCTTGTGTGCTTCCACAGCAGTTCTGTCTCTGGACATGCCCTAGTGTGAAGATAGCACAGCATGGCTAAAAAAACCCCCCTCAAAATAAAGGGAATATAAAGCTCTTCCAGAAGGGGGCGTTGTTTTTCTTCCAAGACTCGGCTTTCTTTGGCTTTGTTTAATTATGCATTTATATTTAAATTTATTGTCAGTCATTAATGAGAAGTTAGCACCTCAAAGGTTTGTAAGAGATTTTCAAAGTTATTGTAGATGAACTCAATTACCCGTGCATTGACTTTAATGTGAACCACTTTACGCTACTTAATGTTAAAATATTAATAAAAAATTTTAAGAACTGAAAGTGAGTATTGTCTACAAACAGTTTAATAATATACAATGCATTAGATCTAAAACATTAAATCTGCCTTTAAAGATTAAATGCCTGTGGTGAAGCGCTGAATTCACCCACAGTTCAGCTGCACTGGCATGTGGTCCCACTGTTCTGGTTGACAGTGTAAGTAAAATACTCTTGGTGGTCAAAGCAGTTTTCTAGTTTGGAAGACCCTTCAGTTAGCTAAGCAACTGCATTTCTGAAGCAGAGGATCACACACTATTTTGCTGTTAGACAGTCATTAGACCTAAAACTTCAGCAGAATAGTAATTTGATAATGCCTGTATATATTACAACAATCTCTTTTTGCAAAGCGTTCTGATTTCAGCTCTTGTCAAATGGGCCTCTCAGACATGAACAGACTCCAGTAGCATATCAAACAGGGCAGAGAGAAAAGGAGAAATTAACCTTTTAAACTCTTTGGCCCAATTTCATATAAACACAACTGCTTTGAATTCAGTAAAATATTACTATTATGCGCACACACATACTTGACATTGGAACTTGATGCACCGTATTTAATCTGAATTGAAAATAACAGGTTTGATCAACCAGTGTTTTCTAATGCTGAGGAAGTGACAGCTCCATAAATAGGAATTGTTAGAGAAGATCAGCTTACTTCTGTACAAGTGCTGCATGTTTAAACTAAAAATGGATGTGAACGGTTGCACACAAAGTAAATGGCCACTGTAGGAAATATATTTGTTAGGGAGTGGATAATGTAGGCACATACATATAAAAACAGCTTATCATCTATATAGTTACTTTCTTTTCTCCACAATTCAAGAGAAATTGTGGTGGGAATTTTACAGAAATTAGTGAAAATGTAGTCAGAACAGTTGCCTTAAAAGATTCCATGTATCTTTGTCGCAATTAAAACCAAATATTGTGGATGGTTCTAACTTTATCATCTGAAAGAAAAAAAAAAAGCTGAAAATTTCATTTTGCTGAGAAAACTTTTATTGTTGCTGGCAACACTGACTGTGATCTTGTGTATCAAAACTAATCCATTAACATAGTTAAACTGAATATAAGATCTTTACTAAATTAACAAAGTAGTAGGAATGTAAATAGTCTTTACTGTTCCTGCCCCATATGTATTGTTATTTTGGGGATTTTATTCCAAAACCATGAAAGGCTCACCCAGCATATTGTGAACAAGTGAGAAGCCCAGCAACACTGCTACAACTTACCTAGTTCACAATTAAGACACAAGAGCCTTGCCGTGACAACTGGAATTCTGTAAGCAGCTGTGTTAGTGTGAGCAATTCTATAAACCACCCACCATTATCAATAGGTCAGATACGAACACCGAGAATTACGTTTTGGTATTTTTACAAGATTTGGGGCAGCTGAATTGCTGTACTGTAGTAATATACACATGATTGAAACTAGCAAAATTGAAGGATCATTGCTTGAATGGGTGTTCATGCACTCAGATGTGGTCAGGTGGTCCTAGGTGCTTTGTCAACTCATATTAATAGCACCAGCATATCACTCATTATGGACAGTGCCAGTTTGGTTCGTTTTACATGAACGTTAACACAAGACTTGTACTTTAATGAAGCAGTAAGTAGCAGTTGCATTTGACAGATGGCTGGTGTAGTTGTTTGTATAATTAGTGCATTTAATTTCTCCCAAATTGTGTTTTCTCATCCAGTTTCAACTACTTCCTTTTATTTCTTTTATTCCTTAGAAAGCCCACCTGAATGTGAAGATGTATCTGATTCAAGCATGTTGATCAGATCAGGGATAGTAACAACAGGATAAAAGTTCTTATGTTAATTTTTACTGTCAGTGCTTTCATCACTGTTAATAATTTTAGAACACATAATAAGATATGGTAAGTAATTTTAATTTCCTTTTCATTGCTCTGGCATTTAATTGCATCTGGATCCTGATTAATATATAGTTCTGTCTCTCTTTCAGCTAATTCCTTTTCTAGCTCAAATGCGTTTTTAACTGCTGCAAATATCCTGTGAGAATGAGTTCACCTTTTGATTCTTTTTTTGTATGTAAAAAACATACTCTTCAATATGACAGGGTAAGCCTGCCACTTACCAATATCATTGTTCTTATATCCCATGAAAGGGGATGTAATCATTCCCTTTTCAATTCCTCTGTGGCATTTGTAAGCATATACAGCAATTTAACTTCTGTTGAAACTGCCTGAAGCATTGCCATGGATGTATTGTCTCTGCCTAGAACTACCCCATGTTTCTGATCACCTTCTTTCTTTCCTCTTCTTCCAAATCCGTTTTCTGAGTTCTGTGACCAGAACTGTGGACTACAGTCATGATGCGGATGCCTCAGATATAATTGGCATAATCTCGTTTTCAGTTTTTGTTCTCTAATCATTTGGAATGTTCTATTTCCCTTTTTATTTGCTGCTGAACGCTATGAAAGTTTCCAGACAGCAAAATGACCAAAGATTTTTTGTTTGTTTTTTTTTTTTGATTGGTATTGTAAAGTAGAGTCTGTCAGGATAAAATTAGATGAGTGCTTCCACCCCAACAAAATATTTGACGTTTGAATTAAATAGTTTACTTTCTAGTCGCTCAGTATCATCATATTCTGTGAGTCCTCACAATTTTACTACTCTGAATATTTTGTATTGTCATCAGACTTTTCACTTAATTACTCAAAAGTTTCTCAAAAATATATCACCATGGATCTGTGTAGGACTTTACTAATAATCATTTTCCCTTGATAAAACAAACTGGTTTTTCCTACTCTTTTTTCTTTACCTTTCAGCCAGGAAAAAATGCCAAAAAGAGTGGTTTTTTTCTTAAAATTTCAGTGAGTTTGTTCAGTTTGGAATTCAAGATTTATTTGTCTGGAGGAAGGTATGAAGAGCAAAAGAGTAAAAAACATTATAACTTTGTGTTAATGAATGTTAACTTACCACTGAAAAGTAGCATGGGTGAAATTTCCATTTGCCTTGTGTATTTATATACCAAAACTAACATATGTTGTACTTAATTTGTTAATTATTCACTAAAGTCAGCTTCACTGCTGTTTTATAATTCTTCAAAAATGTGATAACCAAACTAGCTGAATTGTTAAGGAATACTTCTTCCCTATTAAAAAACCTGACTTTAGGCATTATAAATTTTAAATTATTATGCTGTACAGATGGAAGATAGATCAAAAAGTAGGAGAGTTCAACAACTATAGCAAAGTATAACTTTTTGTGTACTCTAAGATGACTTACAATGTAAAGGAGGATGTTATTTTGATGTTGTTCTTCATTCTATAGATTGGTATGTTGTCCTGCTTAAGCCAGAAAATACAAATCATGTAACATGTATTTTTTGGCCTATAATTTGCTTTAATGTAGATTCTGATTCTTTTGAGATAGATCCTAAAATATTTGTTTTGAAAACTCTGAATAGTACCTTTAAGGGCTATAATGTATAGCAGTAACTACATAATGCCAACTCAAGGAGTTCAGTCCTTTAAATCTTTTTCTTATTATGTGGTAAGATTAAATGAAGTGGAAGACTGGGATGGAAGCTAGGCAGGTGGATGAAAGAAAACTAACTGTTGCCTAGAGTGTGCCATAATTTTTTTTAAATCTTTTTTTTTAATCATCCCACTAGGCCTCAAGAATTTGTATTACTGTCTCTGTTATTACACTGAATGCTAGGCTTGTGAAGAAGCAAAGTGTTTGAAAGTATGTGATTCTCCAAAGGAAACTTACATTTTATATGGGGTTCTGCAGTTAACTTTTTAATTTTTACTTGGGAGAATGGAGAGGAGAGAGAAATCAAGCAGTATGCTTATGAAATAGAATGTATTTGCAGGTGTTAGGTGTTTGCAGGTGTTAGCTTAAGGAAGAGTGAAGTAAATTAAATTTAAAAAGAGAGAGAAGCTACTGCTTGTCACCAGTGTTAGAGTATTAAAATGTATGCAAATTTGATAGCAGTAGTCTAGCAGCAGCATTTTGTACAATATAGGGTGCTAATACCTAGGCTTTGAAAAGATTACAATGAGATTTAGTTGCAGGAATATTAAAGATTAATTTAGGTAGCAATAGCTTTTGCCAGAGATGGAGATAATTACCAGCATGGCTGTATTGCAGAGGCTTATCAGGCATAATGGGAGAATCAGGTGGTAGGAGAAAGATAGATGAACCATTTAATGCTCCTACAGTTCTTAATTCTACACTCCCAAGACAAGGATACAAAAAGTATATGACTGAAACTTAAGTAATAATTTTCCAGGGCCATAACATTTAGGGAGAGCAAATGGGTGGAAAAACTGCTAAAATATTTTTTCCATGCACATGCTTGGATGAGTGTTCCTCCCACCTGCTAAGGAAAATTCTGAGAGTGTTTGTACATTGCCAATGTATCAGAGCCACATAAATCATACGAAGATCCTTTTGCCAAATAAATATGTGGTAAGGGGTAAAAGGGAAATATCTCTAAGATCATTAGGTGAGAAACTCACCTTTGGCAATGTTAATGCTGATTTACACAGTGGAGACTGGTATTGATATTCACCATATGGCAAGGCTTGTTCCCATTTCTTGGTTATCATCTCTTTGGCAATTTTATAAAACACTGCTGTCCCTTTGTAATGAGGTGAACTGTGGTTGCCGAATTCATCCACTTCTTTAATTTGGAGCTCCAGCCTGGGTTTTCTTTGTGAATGAAAGATCAGCCTGTACATTTCTCCAAAATCTTTTCCATTCTCTGCAGACCATACGAAAAAGAAAATATTTTTTTACACTTTATTTAGATGTTTGGCATATAAAATAACTCATTATGATGAGTCAAATAGAGCTAATCACATAACATTCAATATTTCTTTATCATTATTTTTACTTTATATTGAACACGCGAGGTTCAGTCATTCCTACCAGCCTGCTTTGGTAGCTGAAGTGTCTTGGTCCCTCAGTTGTTGGCATAAGAAGTGGTTAAGGCTGTGCTACAAGTTGAAAAGTAAGGAACGTGCAAGAGGATAAAGTACAAATAAAATGAAAACTAAAATTGTATAGTGAATGTATATGCTTTCTGGTTACTCAGGGTGGATATCTGTCTACCTAATTGCTACAGCTGTGTACACTATCCTTTGCATAAATGGAGAGGCATTCCGTGGAGGATGAAGACTTCTCTTTTTGAATAATAATCTGTTCTTTAGAGTAAATCAGGTTTTCAATAGGTGAGTTTATGTACAGAATGTTTAGAGTGCCAGATATCTATTTAAATGTTCTTTCAAAACTGACAGAAGAGGCTCTACATAACTTTGGGGGAAAATTTTTCTGAGGCTTCTTGTAATGGTGGCAGCCACTGCATGGAATTGTTTGAGGCTGCTAAATGAAATGGCCTAAGTCATTCTCATCACCTCAATGCATAGTGTAAAACTCACAAAAACCAGTTTGCTCTGGATTTCAGTTTTTCACATCGCTCACTCTAAGTGAATCTACATAGATAAAACAGAAGACTGTTTTCTTTTTGTTTGGAGTCTAATACCTATGAAACAGTCTTTATATTAAAAAGCCATTGATTGTATCCTGCCAGCTATTTCCAAGGGACCAGGTTTCAGAGTGACAGAAATTGGAAGACATCTCTGAAGATGATCTTATCCAATCTCACTGCTCAAAGCAAGGTCACCAAGATGAGATCGCCCAGTATCTTATTCAACTAGTATCTTTTATTTTTCAGTTGGAGCAGTTTCCATGCACCTATTATTTATAAGAAACAAAACACTGAAATAACTAAATATGCTGTGATTAAACACAACCTACTAATATTCACATACAGTATTTTTTAATAGCTGTGGTGATTGAAAATGTTCATTCAGATGCATGAATTAATTACTTTACCTGAAGCAAAAATGTTGCCTCTAAATCTAAAATGAATCTGCTCTCCTTCTCTTAGCGGGAACTGCTGTGTAGGTTCTGGGGGACCAAAGTAGCCCTCCTCATGGAGATTTTGAAGTTCACAGGTCAATTCTTTTGATGCTGATAGCAAAACTACTATTTTACGTGGGTCTTCTCTTTTCCGATATAGTATCACATTAGCCATTGTGCTACAAAGAGCTTCTTCTAGCGCTTCAGCAAAGAGAATAAGATAGGTGTTTTCCAAGAGGAATGAAAGGCGAATGACCACAAAGCTGTATTAAAAAAAAAAAAAAAAGGCAAGAAAATAGGTAGTTCTATCTTAAATCATTTTATCAACTGCCAATAATTTATTGTGCAAAGTAATACGGGCTCAGTCTCCGAGGAACCTTTTACTACCTCCTTTTCATTCGTGTTTCCAGCACATGAAAGGGTAGAAATCTGACTGCTTCTGTAGTGTAAAGTATATTGACTCTATATCTAAGAATTCGAATACATACACATTTTACATGAAAGTAAGAATATAAGTATATTCTAATAAGAAATTCAAAATAATATTATGGTTTTGTAGTTAAGAGAGCTAAATCATGTTTACAAATTAAGATTAATTTATGCATTTCCTCTTTAAAGTTTTATATATATTACATTGCATATGGTCTATAGATGAAAAAATATTTAAACAATTTTATATTTTCTGTAATCATGAGCAACAAATCTAAATGATCTTATCCTGCAGAATAAAAGGAAAAATATATGCCTGCAATTTAATAATTAATAATGGATGACTTCTTAACTCTACTAATTTCCATTGGTTGGTATACTTGGAAGTATTTAAGGAAATAAAATTTTATTAAATTATTTATACATTACCTTTCTAAATGCTCATTTAGTTCAAATGATACAAGCCCATTCCGTGCATTCTGGATAATAACATCGTCAAATACTTTCCAACCCTCTTCTTTGTTTCTGTGGCCTAATAATTTCAAAGTATCACTGAGATTCTCCCCATTTTTTCTCACAGAAGCACTCATAGCCCTGGAAAGCCAAGAAATTATAGGAAAAAATATAGTGAAAAATAGATCCTGCAAAAACAGTAAGCTTGTATTTGTAGCTGTTCTTTCCCTTCTGCTTTCCTTGATGTCTACATGTACTTTTTCCACCTTGCTGAAAATCTACATCTGGAAATATACTCCAGAGGACATAAGTGATATAAATGTTAAAAGTTTGGGTTTGGTTTTTTTTTCAATTCTTGGATAGAGGGGAAAAAAAGGAAAAATAAAGGTGTCTATCTAAATGAATCTAGTTTAATCTATCCTTTGTTGTCAACCCCAGTAGTTGTTATGGATTGGTTTTGAGATATTCATCAATATTTAGATTATCTAGGAGTAGATATCTGGAAAAACAAAATAATGAGAAAACAACCCTACTTAGTTTTCAAAAGCAAATATTACTCAATAAGCACAAAGGAATGACTGCTATCCATTATATCTTTCAACAGAGAAAATAAAAGTAGCTTCTATTCAAATTAAGTAATTTCTTTGATATCACACTCAGAATAAAGTAATTGTGACATGACATGCTCTGGCTAATTTATTCTAATAAATGAAACATGATAGTTTTTTTACAGAACCCCTCTCCTTAGCAATTTTTAAAAACTGGATATGAATAACCCATTTACCTCAATGCTTCTAGTACAGGAAATGAAATTTGGATCTCGTATAGACCGACACAGGCACCCTTCCCAAATGTGAAGCTTGTGATAAAAACTCTTGTGTCTAAAACACCAGTGTGAGTGTAGAGCTCTGTAAAACATGATCTGAAAAGTTTTTCAGAAATGGAAAGCTACAACATTGTCTGCCTTCTCTATTTGTACCTTATTTTCAAGACAATCTTAATCTCGGTATGTAGATGAATTTTGAAAAGGATAATGTTTAGCTAGCACAGTAGGAATAAGCTCTTTTATGATCTAAACTAGAACTACTTCAAAGCTGAATATTGTCCCAAGCTAGTCCCTAGACTGTAGTCCCAAGAAATCTCTGCAAGCCTTTCTGAACCTGGAGTTGTCCATGGTAGCAGAACTGGAAAGACAAAAATCAAAAGGTAAATCCAGATCGACTTTTTTCCTGCATGAGATAATAAAAGCATCATTTATTTTGCTGACTGTCAAAATAGATGAGGTCAGCTTTGGTCTTGAACAAAAAGTTTTATCTATATCTTCATGTGCACAATGGATAAATTTTATTGGTGTATCCATGTTTTAATACTTTTTTAAGACATTTCAAAATGTCTGTTTTACAAATTTTGAAATGAGTGCTTTGGAAAAATCTGGCCTTTTTCTAGTGCAGAAGTTACCAAAAAACTGACCTAGTCTAAACTGTTGTGTCATAAATTTGTACTCAGGTATCCACTGGAATGTATAGAAGTTCAAATGTGCAGAAAGTTCAAATGCAAGGGTAGCAAAACCATCAGCTGGTAAAACAATGATCACAGAAGTTTTGATACTTGGTTATTCTCTATGTTCAATGTTTGGCTCTGGTGAGAATGGCTGAACGTTTCTTGCTGAAAAAAACCCACACATTTTTCATCCCAACTCCTGCTAGAAGTACAATGGTCAGCATATTTAAAGATTATACATCAAATGCTATAAGAATTTTCCTGGTGAAGCTACAGCATAAGAACTGTAGGGATTTGCTCTAGTGTTTCTAATGTTTGTAAGTACGGCAGACTGTATTAAGGAAAAAACACATTTTTAATACAAAAACTTATTAGTCAGCAACTGTTAAAATTAAATCATTTTGATCTTTAAAAATGCTGAATTTTGAATGAAGTTGTTCTTACCGAGGATGGTATGCAGTAGCAACCCTCTTTACTGTCGCACTAATGGCTCTCACATGTTCTGCCTCTTCTCCTTGCCTTTTTTTTTCTGGGTTTGGAGGACAGGGTAGAGTAACAGTAACGGAGCTGTTAAATGGTTGGGCTGAAGGATGCTGGACATAAACCAGTGCACTAGTAGATACTACTGAGTGATACATATCATGTTTGGCTTTCAGTGTTAAAACCAATGATGGTTCAATTGGCTGAATCTAAATACAGAAAGCAATTGTACAATTAATTTGTAAACTAGTAAATCCTCTCTTACATACTATTTTTTTTTTTTTACAAATTGATTTGTCTTTTGGAATTGGATTAGACCATCATAGAAGCTTTAGATTTCTCTCTAAAACCCACGAACAACCCTGCCAACATATCAGCACTTCATACAATGCACAACCAAATGCTTCTAAGTAATCAACTTTTACTGGAACCTTTACTAAAATGTTTTTGATTGTTTTGTTGCTGCTTTGAGTTCAAGTTTTGAAACTCCTGAGCTCCCTCAGATTTTGATAATTTTCTAAGATATTTCAAATCTGTATTTTGTCACTATTAAATTTTAGCTTCTGTCCTGGTTTGAGCTAAATAGAACCAGTTCTGTTTGGTGGTTTTAATTTTTAGCTGAGTCTCTTCCAAGAGGTTGCACTTTCTGAAGTTAGCAGCATGTTTTTGCAGACAGTGCCTGCTACTACAAATGATAACGCCTGATGTTTATAGTTACCACCAGGGATTGGTATGCACAAAGGCTCTTGCTTATACTTAGTCTAATAATTAAGGTTACTGCTGGACCTTATGTGTTATGTTGAGGGTGCCAGGAAGTAAAAGGGATCACAAAGAAGTAAAAGGTTGCACCTCCGGGGAGGAATGGACAGGACAGTTGACCAACAACAATATTCCATTCTTTATACATCATATTCAGTATAAAGCTGAGAGATCATGGAGGCTAAGCCCTCTTCCTCAATGTCTGGCATCCGAGGAGGACTCTGTCCAATTTTCTGCTTTGATCTCAATTCAGAGTACCCTAAATTCAGTTCCTATACCTGGTTCGTCTCTGCCACTGAGCCTGGGACTCCCCTAGTGCCTGCCTGCTCTGCAGCATCAGTGGTGACTGCTATCAAGGGTGGGGTGTGAGACAGGGGATTTGGGTTCAATATTAGTTTTGTATGTATTTGCATATAGTTCATTATTTTCATTATTTCCTTCTTAGTACTATTATTGTTTTATTAAAACTGGTTTAGTTTTCTTTTCCAATCTGTAAGTCTTTCTGTCACATTTCCTTTTCTCTTTTCCCTTTCCCTTTGGGGAGGGAGAGCAGTTAGAGATCATCTGTCAGCCCTTGGTGGCCAGCCCAGCCCTAACCCTTGACACTCCTCTGTACTTTAGAATCAATGGCGTTTTTATGGGGAAGTAAAGAAAAACATTATAACTGAAGCAAATTTTGAGATTATTTTCAGCCTAAGACTAAGAGGTGACAAAACTTTCTGTAACACTGCCTGGTACAAATTATGAAGGTCAAGTGAGAAAAATTGTTCCATTAACTTAAACACTGAGCCAAGCAGTTGGAGTTTGGAGTTGATGCTTATGTCATTATTGGCAACAACTATATTTTCTGAAGTATAAAAAATAAAAGTAGGGGTTTTTTTGCAGTGACTACTAACGATACTGTGTGGTTTTAACAGAGTTGACAGGAAACAATTTGCTGTGTATACAGGATGTGGAGCTGCAACCACTTTTGATAGATTTATTATAATGGCACTGGTTGCCCTTTAAAATTATCGGCATCCTTGCTTTAGAACTTCTTGGATAACAGACTTATGGAACAAGTATTGAGATTTTCAAGCTTACCTCTAGCTGCATGGGTGCTGGTGAACTGAATGTTTCTGGTTGGTAACAGAAAGAGATTCTAGAATCCGCGCTGAGCTTTTGTGAAAGTCCTACCTTTGGAACAGTAAATGCCTCTTTCTTTAAGCATGATAACACAGAAAAAACACCCAACTGATGAATTTTCACTTCTGCAAAGGTTTCCTGCACAAAGAGAATGTGGGGTTAGAGTACACTGGAGGAAAAGGAAGCTGTGCTCTGCAGCAGATCAGTATTTTGAGAAGGCAACATTATTCATAGATGTGAAAGGAAAGTAAATTGAATATTATTGCCACCTGGATGCCCAGTTACCTAGTGATCTCTAGTCATGTGATGTAATTAATATTCCAGTGTATGATCGGAGTGAGATGAAATAAGCTTCCAAACTGGGTGATGATCTGGCCCAATGCAGTTCTTTTGATTTTTTTAAAAAAGAACCATCCTGTGCTTCTTTGAGATGGAGTTTGGACACATAGAATTGTGTTATTTCTCTGTGATCTAAATGTAAAATAATTCTCCCTTTTATCAAATAATGCAACATATTACACTTATGAACCATTACTCAAACATTAGTAATCATTAGGGATTTGGGGGTGCATTTTTTTTTCAGATTATAAAGGAGAAAGCTTAAAATTAAGACAAGTACTTATCTTAACATTACGAGTGAAAAAGGGACCTTGTTAAATACTAGGTTTCAAATAGAATTAGTTCTTGAGAAAATAGGAATAAAAGTTCAATTTAATCCCATGCAGTGGGCCACACAGATTAATAGTGTCAACTTTATTTTTATAGCTCCACAGAGGCCTAAAAGGGATTCTGGAAAGATATTTTTACACTGCTTAAACGAGAGGTTGCCAACCTTATGGTTTCCTTGGTATCTCTCCAAAGAAACAGGAGTTAAGTAGTTTGATTGAAAGTTCACATCAGTCATTTTCACCATAATCTCCCGATAATTTCCTCTGAAGCACGAAGTAAATGGGATTGCAATGTTGATAGGGAAAGGGATTGTTTTCTCACAATCAGAGCATTCAATGCTGATGACGTTGCTGACCAGCTCCTCAGAATCATCCACCACCAAGGAACTAGTGTCATTGACTACCTTACACTTCAGCTTCTTTAGAGCAATTGCAGGGGCTTTAATAAAACAAGCTACTTCACGTTCATTCTTACCATTCTCTTCCACTAGAAATCTGGAGAAAAAGAATATAAAATATTATTCTTGGTATTTTGGGTGAGGTGATCTGATAATTTTAATTAAATACTTTTATAATGTGCTATACTGTAGTAAGAGCAGATCATTCATAAAACTATATGTTTATGAATAGATGGGAAAATCATGAATTTTTTATGTTTATCTTAATTTAGAACATCTTACAAATTATAAAACTGACTAACTGGGGTCCTTTTCTGCTGTTTTCCAACAATCTGTGAATTATTGGCTTTACTGGTTGTGACTCGTGCCTGCTCTGGCATAAAAAAAATGTATGCAATCAAAATTTACTTTAGACCAAATGGAAAATCTTCTTAGTACATGTTTCAGGTTGTGAACTGATATTATGTGCATGATCAGCAGCTGTTCAATATATGCATATTGGGTTACTGGGCCCACAGATGTTTATATGTGTACTCATAAGCAATATTCATGCACATCTGTTCCTAAAAAGAAAGATACGTGCTTACTCTTTGCTCATCCAGTGCCTAGATTTTTGTGCTCCTTCTGAATCATTCATAGAAGGATTCATAGCAGTGAGGTCACGTGTTTGTGCTGAAGATGTGAAGGTAATTAGGTCATTCCTACAAATCTCATTATTTGTTTCCATTTTACTGTCTTCCATTTGCTCTGTCAGTCTATGTTCTTCATTTTTTTCACTTTCTACTCCTTTTGAAGATCCTTTGACTTCTACCTCTTTTTCCTGTTCAAAAAGCTTTGTGACAGTTCTGTCATACGTGCCCTTCAATGTCCCTGATACAATGCCTTCCCCACTGCTCATAAGAGCATATCGAAAAGGCAGCTCTGGAGACTTTTCAGTAACAGAACTACCTCCGCGAGGTTTATCCTTTCCATTGCAATCTTTTTTCTCTGTAATGGAGTTCATTAGTAGTCTGTGTTCATCATCTTCCTTTTTCAACGGAGGTTCTCTGCTAACATCCTGCTCTCGAGTACATATTCTTTCAGCTAACGAGGCTACATCTTTTTGCATATTTTTAGTTTCACTTATCTGGATTTGATTAACATCCTGACTTTCTGTCTTGTTCAGGGAAGGAGTTCTTTGGGACTGCTGGCTGGGACTAGAAGATGCTTGCAGAGGCTCTGCTGCTTCTCCTTCAGAACAACACACATCAGTTTCTCTAGAAGCATTTTGAGCAGTCTGGATCTGAGAATCCTCATCTTGTCTGCAGATAGCAGCATAAAGTTTCTTTTCCACTTCTTGAAGGTGTGAGACTGTATTTATCAAATAATCCTTCACTTTCTGCAGACATTCTATAATTTCATTGTACTCTGAAGGAAAAAAAAAAAAAGGTAACCAAATGAATTTTGCTAGGAAAAGTAGCAAAAAATGTGAAAACTCACATACATGTTTAATGAATTCTACCTAATTCCATAGTGCCACTCAATACATGCAGCGTAATGTATTTCCTGGCTTCTAGTTAATATTTTTGCATTTATTGCTATTCGAGTCAATTTCTGAAGAATTGAATATGCACAGGTACAGTTGTGTGCTTGTTCAAGTGCAACTGTGTATTTGTCAAAGTACTACTGTGGCAAATCTAATGAACACATTTCTAACGATAAGCCACTACCGTATGGATTGGTAATTAATAGTCAAATCAATTTGGGAAGAGCTTTAAAACTACACATTTATGCTATGCATTTCCCAAAACTGAATACTGGAAGATTCTAACAGCTGGCTCTCTAAAAAAGCTGTTATATGTGGGCTTATTATTAAACATTCTCAGCAGCTTTGAAATTTTTTGCTGTGAAGAATAGAGGGTAACACAAAAACATCAGCACATATATACAATACTGAAGTTCAGCAGTTTGTAGCATCCAGTTTTAGGAATGGTGGAGGCTGCTGTTGCGTATAACAGTTGGTGAAGTAGGATGCACAAACCCCACACAATTAGTATGTGCCATTCATGTAAGGTTTTATCTTTAATTTATTTATTTTATGATCCCTCATTTTTCTTATCTTACACTTCTTCTTAGAAATTCTTCCAGATATTCTCTCCAAGGATTTCAGATGTATTACTTTCAGGTCTCCTCTCACCTTACGCTGTCAATCTCTATAACTGGAACTGTGTCTTCATTAGTTAGGTATACTACAAGCCTCTCAAAAAAATTTTTGCTTATTTCTGTTTGCTGCATGAGATTCTGGAAAGCTTTTTTTTTTGGGGCTAAATCCAGTGAAATTCAATACAAATAAGAATTGAACACAGCATGGTGTGCTCTCCACTTATAACGGACAGAGACACACAAGGGAAGGACAACAGAAAAGGCTGATAGAAGTCTTATGGGAAACTACTGTCTTACATTTCACTTTTTTCAATAACATCATATGAGGTAAATCAATATCTCAAGGTTTTCAACTTGGAAAATAATTTTAGTGAATAAGAATGTCACAACACATCAATGTGTGATGTTCAGTTTGAGTCATATAATCTAGGAAGGTCTTTTGTTTCTACCTGCATCCAATTAATTTAAATCTACAAAAAGCACAGTTCAGAATCAAGGCTTTCTTTCCTCATTGAACTCAGTCTAATAATAATTCCTTTGCAATATTTTCTCAGTTCTCTAATGACTTGTTATTTGGGACTTGTTATTGGCTTTTGATTGTATTTGGGAAAAAAAAAAGCAAACATATTTTTAATAATTATTTTCCCCTGGTAGTTCAAAGAAAAAATAAGTTTGTTCTAAGGTACTGCTGTTTTTCCAGAGGCACTTTTACAACAGTGAAAAACTTGTAAATAGTTTAACAGGACTGAGAAGTAAAACAAAAGGATTGGAAATAGTATAGTTTCCTTTGCATAGGAGGTTGTAAAAGACCACTTCCCAGTCTCACTGTAGAGCAAAGTTAACACTTCTTCGAAACTGTCAAAATTAAACTGTTTCCTCCCTGAGTTTTGCATTCTCTAAACAAACCAAAAAATGCAAACCAAATCATACAGCTGTTTAAACTTCACTAAAATAAAATTTGAATATAGCAGGGCCATTCAGAACAACAGCATTTTCCTGTGCTGCAAATGTGACGTTTCTAATATTGCTGTGCTTAAAGCCCAGCAAAGACACGACCTTGCCGCTTTACACTATCCAACTGTTGTCTGAAAAGATACTTTTTTGCATTCTGATAAAAGGTCAACCTTGATATAAGCCTTTTTTGTTACCCCCTGCCACCATTGCTTTTCTAGCACTTTGCTTTCTGCGCTTTTTTGACATTTGGTAATACAGCTTTAGAACACAGTGGCAGTTTATACGCAACTGCTTTCAAAGATTTTTGCTGACTGTTTTATGGGAAAGTGTCAGATGAAGAAAAGTAGCTTTTTGGAAGGAGAATGATAATAAATTCTTAGAAATCTGAAAAAAATATTAAAAATTGAAAAAAATTTGAAAAACTGAAAAGGCCATGAGGCCGACAGGGCAAAGTTAGCTTGATCTTGGAGCCTGGAACCAGATCTTAAAAAAAATGGATTTTTATTATTGCAGACACTTTATAAATCTGTAGAACAAAGATTGATAAACACAGCACAGCTAAAGATTTCTGCTTGGAGTCTCTCTCTCTATGCATCATGCTGTTAGACCATTATTAAATGCAGAAATGTTAGAGATTTTTTCTTCTTTGATGAAAGTTTTTTAAGATATGGTTTCTGAGTTGTTCCATTTGTCACAAAGCGATCCTGCATTTTCTCAGGAATGAAATCTGGATTTGGTCCTTACAATAAATAACACTGTTATTATACCCACAGCATTATTATAAATGCAAAAAAAAAAAATTCTATGTGTTTACCTGCGCACTAAGATGGCAGAAGTCTTTTTTATTTTTACTGACATTTTGTAACTATGGTGTTACTTGTAGAGGACTGTAGGCTACATATACTGGGTTTACCCAGTGAGTAAGGGGTGGCTGAGGCTGCCCTGGGCCAGACACAACAGGTTCCACAATGGATCCACTGCAGGACTGAAATGAGCTGGTCAGCAAACTGGTGCTACCTCTGTGTAAAAGTATTTAAAAAAGGGGCAAGAACACCAGAGAACAGTGAGGAGCAAGAAAAGAAAAGACATAAGAAACAGCTCTGCGGTCACCAACGTCAGAGAACAAGGAAGAGAAGGTGCTCCGGGCATGGCGTGTCCATTGCAGCCCCTGGGAGAGCAGGCTGGAGCAGATATCCACTCTGCAGCCCATGGAGGACCCCACATTGGAGCAGGTAGGTAGGCATTCCCTGAAGGAACTGCAGCCCATGAAGAGCCTAACTTTTCCTGACGGGAACTGTGGGCTGAGGGGAAGGACCCAGGGTAGAGCATAGAAAAGCGTGAGAAGGAAGGAGCGGCAGAGGGGAAGTGTTACAGATTGATGGCTACCCCCATTCCCCATCGCTCCATGGGAAGAGGAAGACATAGAAGAGTTTGGAATGAAGTCTCGTGTTGAATCTCTTTTATTAGACTAGAAAATGGTGTGATACACCTGGTTGAAATATGAATTAATTTTGTCTAATGAATGATCAAGAACTGAAATACTATCAAATGAAAAGTAAGGCCACCTAGCATCATCACTCGGCAGAATTTAGTATCCAATATACCCAGTCCATTCTGTTTACAGGTAAGTCCCTCCATACTTGCCTGGACTTGCAGTAAATTCCTTGTGTTTTTCATGGAGAGCCGTCAGCAAGTGGCAGGTGTCTTGAATACTTTCTGTAATGTTCTCCAGCTGCTCGCTGAGAGATCTGCTCAGCTCTTTTGTTAAAGAGATCAGTCCAAGTACATACTCCTTTATACCTTCTTTATCCAGATCACTTTTCAGAAGCACACCTCTCGCTAGCAAATTCAGGTGCCAGATTTTTTCCAGGAGTTGGCCTGATTTGCCTGCAGGTGTAATCTTACCTTCAGATACTTCCATTTTTTGTTTAGAATATACTACAACAATTGTTTTTATGCTCAAACACCTCCACAAGGTGTTGTCCTCGGTTCAGACTACTACCCTGTTTAGTGTTTCTAGCCTAAACAGCAATTTAAAAAGGACTGTGTTCTGCACACCCTGACAAATCAAACTCTAGCTTAGAAACTCTGAGTTGATATTGACTATTAAAAAGTTACCAGGTGACAGAGAGGAGTGGTTCTCCTGTAACTATGGGGAAGGACTGCTAAGAGATGTCAACGTATACTATACACCTTTAGGGGAGATTATGTAACGTAGTTATGTAGCAGTGACTTAAATTTCAGGAGCTGTGAGCAATTTCTCACTTCAGTGGCTGTAAATGGTCAGTACCTATGAAATGACGCTTAACTGTGAATTCATATTTGTATGATCACCAAAAAACGAGGAAGTGTTTTCACTGCAAGTTAACACTAAATGCAGGTCATTTGACACCATTTTTCTGACAACTGTATTTCATTTGATGTTCAAACAGGTGAGACAGGTCTGAGCTGCTGTGCAGTCTGGACGGTGTATTTGAATTATACGTAGGTTTCAGCAAATTAGGAATCCACAAATCAAATTTTGTGATGAGCAAAAACATTTATTAGCAATAGACAGTTTTTTCAGGTGTATGTTCATATAACAGGAAGATATGTAAAGTAAAAGCAGTAACAGCTAAAAGTTCAGTTAACTAATGATTGAAATTTTGTTTGACATTTTGGAAGTTGAGAAGCAAACTTGTGAGAAAAAACATGAGCTCACTAAACTTAACTGTGGCATCAAGAATTGACTATATGAAGTCCACAGGGAGAAAAGCACTGTTCTCAAGGGTACCCCCGTGAAAGCGGGCAGCGCTGCTTTTGCAGGGGCTCCTGGAGGCAAACTGGGAGGAAGCAGAGTCAGTGCCTGACAGGGCTCCTGTCCTCTTTATTGTCATCAGTGGGTCAAATCTGAGCACTGACACGTCAGTGATAGTATTTCTATCTCACCCAGCAAGCTCAGGAAGAGAAGTCTCACCAGGATGGCAATAAAAACAAGTGGAGGAACAGCACTGATGTTTACTGATGCCAGTTCACAGCGTGCTGTGCTAGGGGAGGACTCATTATCAGAGCTCAGTACTGGTCTAAATCCGAAGTATCACATACACCAAAATATTTTATGGCTTAAGAAATGTACTACACAAATTGTTGGTAGAGCGGCTTTTCTATTAAACATCCCTTTTTATGACCCATTATAAATATAATTAATGCAGCTTTAAATAGCAATTAAAATTGGACTGTGATATAAAAGCACACAGAAAATTGAATCTAAGTATTGCAAGAACTAATAAGGTAATGTCATCAGTGTGCTTTGAAGCTGTAAAGCACTGTATAAATGTTAAAATAACAACAAAAGATACAGTGTCTTTTATCAAATGTATGAGCTGAAACCAGCTGTAATTATTAAATTCAAAAGGCAAGTTCCTTTTGACTCATTATAGTTTGTTTGATCACACTGAAAGCGTACTGCACAGCTAACACAAAAATGCATGTGAATCATTAACCTATTTACCATTTCTGATGGTCCAGTATCTCCACATTTTCCAAAATTATTCCTAGGAAAAAGGAAACTTGGAAAAGAACATATACTTTCATGTACAGGAAGTGAGAAATGGCATCCTCCTACTCAAAAT